TAATTTAAAACCTTCTGGAAAGGATTCACCATGCTAGATGCCATTATGAACATTTGTGATTCATGAGAGGAGGTCAAAATATCAATATTCACAGGAATTTGGAAGAAGTTGATTCTAATTCTCCTGGATGAGTTTGAGGGGTTTAAGACTTCAGTGGATGGAGGGTCTGCAGATGTAGTGGAAAAAGCAAGAGAGCTAGTATTAGACATGGATCCTGAAAATGTGACTGAATTGCTACAATCTCCTGATAAAACATGAACAGATAGGAGTTACTTCTTCTGCATAAGCAAAGATAAATTCAGCAAAGTCTCAGGTTACAAAAATCAATGTACACAAGTCAATGGCATTTATACATACGAATAACATTCAAATTGAGAGTCAAATCAAGAACTCAATATAATTTACAATTATTATGAAGAAAATGAAATACCTAGGCATATATTTAACCATAGAGGTGAAAGACCTCTATAAGAAGAACTACAAAATACTGATGAAAGAAATCATAAATGACATAAACAAATGGAAAAATATACCATGTTCCTGGATTGGTAGAATTGACATTGTAAAAAAATTTTATTTCCCAAAGTGATTTACAGACACAACACAATCCCATCAAAATACCTACATCATATTCAACAGATCTAGAAAAAATAATTCTAAGCTTCATCTGGAACCAAAAAAGAGCCCAAATAGCCAAAGCAATCTTAAGCAAAAAGAACAAATCTAAAGACATCATATTTTATGACTTCAAATTACATTCTAAAGCTATAGTAACCAAAGAAAGTGGTGTCTAAAAATGGAATTGAATCTCAGTGAAGTTGGTGTGAACATTGTTAAAATGACAATAAAGGATTAAGCATATTACATAAACTTAGTTGACAAACTAGTGGCAGAGTTGATAGAATTGGCTCCAACTTTGAAAGAAGTTCTACTGTGGGTAATATGCTATCAAATAACATCACATTCTATAGAGAAATTTTTTTTCATTCTTTTTAACTTTCAGATTAATATGAAGACAAGCCATTAGGTTATATAATTTACACATGACGGGTAAAAATCAGAGTTGTAGTTGTATCCTACATCCAGGGAGTGTGCCATTAGATCCATGCATTATCCCATTGGGTGGGAAGCTACTGAAGCTCCTTCTCTCCTCCTCCCTTCTTGATTTTGTTTATTTATTTATTTATTTATTTATTTTTAAGGCTAGGATGAAATAAAGTTTATAGAGGAATAGAAAGATAGGTCTACAGAGTAAGCAAGCTTACAGAGCCAGATATGTTGACCATAGACAGTGGATGGGCCTCCATTGCCAGGGCAAGTAGGCAAAGAGGCTCCATGTTTGAGTTTAATTGAGATTTTCTCTTGTGTGGGTCTGTATTTGTTCATCTCCTAGTTTCAAATTGCTAATGAGAACACGTAATGCTTGTTTTTCCAATCTTATAATACTTTAACTAGGAGAATGTTCTTCAAATCTATCCAGGTGGTTACCAAGGATACAAAATTTCCATCTTTTTAAGGGACAAATAGTATTTCATGGTATATATATATCACAGTTTATTAATCCATTCATATGTTGGTGGGCACTTGGGTTGTTTCCACACCTTTGTGATTATAAACTGCGAGGCTATGAACATTCTAGCGTAAATGTCTTTTTTTCATTTGAGTAAATGCCTAATAGTGAAATTACAAGATCAAATGGTAAGTCTAGTTTTAGTTCTTTGAGAAATCTCCATACTTGTTTCTGTAGAGGCAATACCAGGTCATTGTCCCACCAATAGTGCATGAGTGTTCACTTATGGAGAAATCTTGTGAAAGGAGAGTCAGTTGATGCAGCAGACTTTATAAATTGTTACAGCCACCCCAGCAATGGGCAGCCACCCCCTTGACCTGTCAGCAGACATCAATGACAAGGCAAGATCCTCCATCAGCAAGAGGATCATGATTTGCTGAAGTCTCAGATGATCATTAACATTTTTTAGCAATAAAGTTATTTTAAATTAAGGTATGTACATGTCTTTCTAGACACAATGTTATAATGGTATTTCACAGTGAATGGAATATAAAATAAAGATTACTTTTATATGTACTAAGAAACTAAAAAAATTATGTGATTTGCTTTATTGCAGTGGTCATAGAACCAAACCTGCAATATCTCTGAGGTATGCCTGTTTTGTATTTCAGAAAGATGTGATTCAACCTAGGATTATATTTCTGTTTTCTTGATGCAGATTTACATCAAATTTACAGTATCTCAAATCTGGTAAATGTTTTGAAAAATGGAGTGAATATCTTGGGCTGGCCATCTCCCACACTTGATAAATGGTGGTTTTCACTGCATTATTACTTTCAGGTTTCCTAGTTGACTTTTAGACATTGTCAACCACATCTTGTATATAACTGTTATTTTGAGAAATGAGCATAATGGATGCACTGCATTGTTACACATCAATTTATTTTCTTTTCTTTAGCTCTTACGGAGTTCAGATGCTCTTTCAGTAGCACCATTACTGTCCTAGAGTAAGGAAAAAATTAAGAGAGCTTTCCAGGAACCCTATTTTTAGTAAACTCTTTCCCTCTTTCATCCCTCAGAATCCAAATTCTCTCTTATAAATTGATCAAATGAGTAATTTCATTTGCTATGGCAGCTCTGGTTTTCTCGACCATGTCTCTTCTGTAGATCTAGTTTTTTTAAACAGAATTTAGGCAATGCCTTCTCCAGGGTTTTCATCATATGCATTCAGTATCTTGTGTAGGAAAGTTAACTCTTTTTGTCTTTTTGATCTGTAACACTTATACCTTTTATTTCTCCTATCTATTTTTTTTTTTTTTATTAAATCATAGCTGTGTACATTAATGCAATCATGGGGTACAATGTGCTGGTTTTACATACAATCTGAAATGCTTTCATCAAACTGGTTAACATAGCCTTCACAGCATTTTCTTAGTTATTGTGTTAAGACATTTATATTCTACACCTAGTAAATTTCACACGTGGGTGTGGTATGTAAAAGAATTAGGGGAGGGCAGTGGTGAATATATCCTAATGAAGTTTGTGATAGGTGCAGATAGCCTGCTTCTCTGGGATATAAACAAAAAACTATATGGTCTGAGACATTTCCAAATTCCCCCCAACTCCTAATTCCGTAATTCTTTTGAGGCCATGGTCAGGTCCACCCACTGTGTCCTTCTGTATAGTGACTGTTAAAGTGTCAAACTCATACAAAGCTCTCGAACTCACATCAAAGAGGAGATCTGTGTTATAGGGAAAAGTGCTGTGGCAATTCTTCTACCAGTATTCTTGACCTAAAACAAATCAATAAATCAAAGATGTTAAGAGGACAGCACAGTGGTTCATGCCTATGATCCTAACATTCTGGGAGGCCGAGGCAAGAGGATTGCCTGAGCTCCAGAGTTTAAGACCAGCCTAAGCAAATTGAGATCCCTGTCTCTACAAATAGACAAAACTAGCTGGGCATTGTGGCAGGCACCTGTAGTCCCAGCTACTCAAGAGACTGAGACAAGAAAGAAGAGGGCTTCTAAGAGTTTGAAGTTGCTGTGAGCTATGATGCCATAGCGCTCAACCCCAGGGTGACTGAATGAAACTCTGCCTCAAAGGAAAAAAAAGAAAGATGTTAAGAGCCTGATTATGAAGCAGAATACTATATCTTTTGTCAGTTAAGATGGATGTTAATACAAAACTTTTGATTGGAACATTTATAGAGAATCTACAATTTAAAGAAAAAGAATTCCCCTACTTGACACTGATAGAAGGCATGGTGGATGCGACTTTGGGAAGAAAGCTGAAAAATGTCAGTGGAAACACAAGTCGGTGGATACACAGGCCAATGCAGTCTCTCTTGGCGGGTGTGAGGGTAGGAAGGCCTCTAACATTTACTGAGCACCTGTCCTGCGCTGAGGGCGCTGGTAGGCACTCTGCAGATACCAGCTTTTTGAATCTTCTTAAGAAACCCTCCATTCTTGTTTTACATCTGAGGCTCAGAGAGGTTAAATTATTCCTCAATGTCACTGAGTGAGTAACTGGTGGGACTCAGATCCAAACCCAGGTCTGTTCAACCTCATAGCCCAGGGGACTGTTTCCTTCACTCTATGGCTGCTGCCTCAAAAGAAATTATGCATAGGGGTCAAAATGACACTCTTCCAACTCTTCCAAGGTTGAACAAGGTCTCTTTCTATGTGGAGAAGGCAGGACACAGATTGGAGCACACAGAACGGTACTCCCCCTTTGGCCCAAAGACTCGTTACTGGTATTTGTCTTCATGCTGGAAGGGTTCCTCCCTTACCGTTTTCACTCATCTCGAGAAAGGTGGCTCCCTGTATGGAGGTGATGGCCTCTAAAACTTTGGTTGAACTGAACAGCCAAGCTTCTCATTTTTGCTGGAGGGATGTGAGAGAATTTGGCAGAGATGGCATATGAGCCAATGAAGAATTAGTGGGTATTTACAGTGTTGTTACACACTTTATGATGTGAGTTGACTGTTTCATGTAGCCTCATAAAACGTGTTGGAGGGTGAGTATATCACTTCCTCTGCTCTCCCGGCAGAGATGGGACCTTCTCTAGTGCTTAGCATATTTCCTGATGCTCCACTCAGCCCAGCCCACTTTTCAGATTTTAATATGCTCCTATAATAAGTATGGGGAAAAAGGAAGAAGGAGGAGGAGGGGTGAGGGAAAGCCATCAGCTCCAGTTGTCACACTACTATCCCAGCAGAGATGAATGAGTGATGTCAGAGCAGAGTCCCGAAATATATAGAAACAGGCCTGTTTGGCTCCAGCAGTAAATAAATCAGCCAGTTACACATTTCTTGAATGGCTGGCACAAGTTTTGTTGTCAAAGCAACTCCCCATGGAGCTGGCTTTGCTCACACAAGTCCTCACTCTGTCCTAACCCCAAGCTACCTGAGGAGGAGGAACTGAGTGAAGGGGAGGGACCAAACAGGATTGTCTCCCCTGCAGGCCGCCTGCCTGAGTTACATCCACAAATGCCTCGGAAGCAGCAGGCTGGCTGCATCCTCCTGACATTCCTGGGTCTGGCTGGGCTGGTTGGCACAGTTACCAGAACATACCACATTGGCATTGTGGAAGAATATTGGAACTATGTACCCCAAGGGAAGAATGTTATTACTGGGAAAAGTTTCACAGAAGACAAGTGAGTGAACTTGGGGTCCCCACAGACCCCAAGGTTTGGCCTCTTTTTTACTGTGTATGAGAAAGGTTGTATTCTTTGGGTTGTTAGGATAGAGATGTGTTGATCTGAGTCTAGAGCAACAGGAGGGGTTTAGTTTTTGCCTAAAGAGCCCCACTGTGGATGAGTCTGTGACTTGGAAGTGTCTTAGCTCCACTGATTGACTGAGCTACCGATTAACAGCCTTGTCTGTGACCAGACATATGTACAACCAGGTGATTTGAATAATGGCTCATTTTGTCAAAGGACAGTTTTCATCAGGCAGTACTAGTAACTTCTAGGAGCTTGTTTTGTTTTTTTTTTAAAGGCAATGTTTGAGATGAAAATTTAAGAATTTTCAAGAACTCTTTACTGTTAAAACACAATGTTTTATAAATTTTTATTTTTGGAAAGAAGTATCATAATTGGAGATATGTATGTTAAGTTTTGTTTTCCAGTGTTTAAAGAGGGGGAAGTGACCACAGATTTGGCTGCTATTTCAAGGTTTCCTTGAATCTACTTAGAAATGGCTCTTTCACTGTTAGAGAGGTTTGTTCCAACCCTGACTCATCTGTTCTGAGGGCAATATCCCATCCCAGAGCCCACAGCATAGCTGGTGGGATTGGGCTGGAGTGTACCATGGCCCTGAGTTTTAATTTTTGTAGAAAATATACCCTCGCCCTCACTCAAGAGTCCAGTGTCTTAAATATCCTATTTGTTCCATGTGTCTCCCTCCGAAGTCACTCCTGACTCCAGAAGCTGTCATGCTTATTTTCAACTTTGTGGTTCATAGAACATCTCTTGAGATATCTTGGCAGCATCTGTTGGGTATTTGAAGGCTTGCTTCTTTTCTGATAGGCAGAGCTTATTGCATTCAAAGTCCATGCTCCAGTTCCTAAAGATGAGGTTAGTTGCCAAAATTCAGGAGCAGCACAAAGTCTGCCAGCAAGCCTTTATGACCCAGGTCCTCCTGCCCTGGAGGAAAGAGCAAAGACCTCATTGGCTTGGACACACAGCTTCTAGGTTTGCTAACGACACAAAGATGGCATAGTCATGTTTTGTTTGCTAAAGAAAGATGATGTGCGTGCCAGGTAGGCTGACAAGAAGGACTTTTCCTTAAGCTCAGTAGCAGGACATTTAATGCCTGCAGGTTATTTCCAAAGAACACGCTTGATGGCTCTCAATCCCACATCTGCTGACTATTGGTGGTGGTGGGTCTTTACTATGACAAACAGCTGAGGATGGAAAGGGTACCCTAACTGCGAGGAGCCTTCTTTATAGAGCTCTGCTGGCTAAGTAGAAAATGGCCAATGTGAACAGCCACTGGACGTGAGAATGTTGAAAATATGTATATCAGATGTAGTGAACACATTCTGTAGGCTGAATGTGTGATTGGACTGCCTTTCTGTACAACTAGGTAAAAGGCACAGAAATAGTTTCTCTTAAAATGCCACGTCAGCATAGCTGTGTTCTGATCCAGGATTCTACTAGAGACTTTCAGCTCACTACTTCTTGCAGATGTTATTATTTCCATCTTACAAACCAGGAATGAAGCCTCCAAAGTTAAATCCTTGCTGACATTTTTAGAGCAAATGACAGTACCAAACTCACATAGCTTTGATTCCAGCACTCATGTTTCTTTTCATCATGCAATCTCTTTTTCGGTAAAGGTGATCCTTTCCCATGGAATGAAAGCCGGCTTTGAAGGAAGCCAGGGATCCCAGTAACAATAATTTTCTATAAAGTCTTAATTTTTACCAAGGTATGTTTAGTCTCAGTTGCCACTCTTCAAGAAAGATGTTGAAAATGATCCCTGGTGGTTACCTGGGTTCATTCAAAACTCTGAAGTAGCTTAAATACCATAATGCTGTTTTCACACAGCTGGGTGCAGGAAGGAGTTGGGGGCTCTCTGTTGATCATTTCAACCAGAAGATGGTACTTTGAAGAAATTACGGTAAAATACATGAAAATTGTGATGGTGAAAAAGAAAATAGGTGTCATGAACTGTTCACTTGGCATCAGATTTGAGTAAGGTGGTTTCATAAATGCCATTGGTCCGTATGAGAGCACCCCTGCCCTTGGGAGCAGCTGGCCTGCTAAGATGAAATTTCTCCCACCACTCTGGCTTATTCTGATCTGTTTCCTTCCTAATTACTCCCAGAGCTTGGGGTATTTTCATCTTGGGCACGGCATTTTCTTCTCCGGGCATTGTTCTCTAGTTGTTTAGTATACACCAGTCACCTCTACGGCTAGAGTTAAAGCACCACTTTGATGCAGAAGGGCTGGCATGTATTTAATAATTCCCCTTCCTACTCAAAGCTTTTTCAGTGACGGTATCTCACCAAGGACTGGGTACAAGGTCAGGCATTTGGAATCATTGAAGCAAAAACGAATCACTTTATCAATTTAGTTGTTCTTATTGTTTAATCTTTGAATAAGGGGAATAGGCAAAAATGAAGAGAACAAGGGGGTGGATGTCAAGGTTTCAGTGATATAAAGATGTTTGGAAAGCAAAATTCAGCAGTTCCAAGAGCCTGATAAATCCTGATGCACAAGGATGAGATAGAAAATAAATTGAAATCGTTTTACCAAGATGCCATAGCAATAAGATGGTACAATTTAACTTTACAACTTGGTGCCTTTGCTTGATTATAGGGTTCAAAAATATAATTGAGAATATATCACTAATATTTCCTAGAAAGTATAGGATTTAAGAGTTAGATTCTGCCAGGCGAGGTGGCTCACACTTGTAATCCCAGCACCCCGGAGACCGAGGTGGGTGGATTACTTGAACTCATTAGTTCAAGATCAGCCTGAGCAAGAGAGAGACCCTCTCTCTATTTAAAATAGAAAAACTAGCCAGGCATCCCAGTTACTAGGGAGGCTGAGGCAGGAGGATCCCTTAAGTCCAGGAGTTTGAGGGTGCTTTGAGCTGTGATGCCATGGCCCTCTACCCAGGGTGACAGAGTGAGACTCTGTCTCAAGAAAAAAAAATTAGATTCTATTTAGAAATATTTCCTCCAGGTAAATATGCTCTTCTTCCTCCTCACTAGGCTAAATGGGGACACTGAGAAAGATCCTTTGATTGGCCCGGGAATGGTGTCAGCATTTTGATCTACTCAAGCCAGTCCTACTCAGTCTTGTAAAGTGCTTAATTAAGGTGTGACTGTGCTTCGGTGGTAAAGCTTGGTTTTTAATGGAACCAGAGCGAAGTTACTTTATTTAAAGCCACAGTTCTCACCATAGACCTCATTGGGCAACCAACGTGCATGTGGGTTTTTCTTCCCAGTGAAACGCAGGGGTTTTCATGGATCCTAACTCCTGGGTGGGACTGTCCTTAGACAGGAGAGACTGACACTACTCAAACTCTAGATATCCAGGGTCTGTTAGAGGGACCACCACATCACTGCATCAGCCCTGCCGATGGCAAGGAGTTTTGAGCATTCATAGGAGCAAGCCCTATGGGGAAGTGTGAGGGAGAGACCCAAATGGCTATCTGAAGGAAGGGCCAACTGAGCAGAAGCAGGTGGACAGAAGAGAGAGGCTTTTGTGAGTCTTCAAAATAAAAGAAAAAATATTATCTCATTAGTGCTTGGCCTGAAACAAATAGTGATTTTCAAGTCTCAACTTTTATCAGCATCAAAAATTGTGTGTTAGGACTGATGCCATGTGACTTTCTTAGAGCTGCTATTATATCCTGCGTCAGTAAGTGATTGCTTTTAGCTGTCAGCAGATACTGGAATGCAGTGACTTAATCAAATTAGGATTTTGTATTTGCTTGTAGAAGAATCCAGAGGTGAACAGTCTAAGGCTAGTGGGATAGATGGTATGATGGAATCTCAGAGGCTTTTTGTATTTCTGGCTCATCAGCCCTAACACATGGTTTTTCTCCTTCCCCAAGGGTATTCATGGTCACAAGGTGGCTGCTGGATCTCCAGCCATCATGTCTGTATTCCAGGAAGGAAGAGAGGAATGGGAAAGGTAGAAGGGGCATAATTCCTAATGAATCAATCCTTTAAAATGTTATCATAGAAAACCTACCCAACCAATTCTACTCAAATCACATTAGATACTCATAGCCACAAAGGGGATTTAGCTGTGTGTTATTACTAAGAAAGGATGTGAATGTAAATGTTGCGAGGCAGCTGGTGGTCCTTGTCACCCTCTCCTGTTTCCTATCATTTATAAACATCTTCTTAGTTCCCTCTTCCTTTTCCCACCTTCATACAGTGGGAGCCAAGGGCTGGTTAGCAAGATCTGAGCAAACTCATGGACAAAATAATAGCTAAGCATCACTGAGTATTTACCTTGCTCCAGGCATTATTCTAAAAACTTCACATGGTATAAAGAAGAGCCAATCTTCTGTCCCTGTTAGGGAGAAAGGGAGGAATAGGGAGGGTTTCCCCAGCCAAATGTATCTTAGCAGTGGTCTCATGGAGATGCCAAAGCAGGCCCCCTTGCTGGTGAAATGTAGGGTTCTCCTGATAAGCTTACAGTTCCTGCTCCACTTACTGGGCAAGAATTGAAACTCCTTTTGCCTCAGTTTTCTTGTCAGTAAAATAGGGATAATGATAGTACTTGTTTGGGGCAGTGTCAGTTTCCTGTGGCTAACCACAAACCAGGTGGCTTCAAACAACAGTAATTTATTCTCTCTCAGTTTTGGAGGCCAGAAGCCTGAAATGAAGGTGTTGGCCAGTCCACACTCCTTCTGAAGTCTCTAAGGGGCATTCCTTGTCCCTTCCAGCTTCTGGGGACTGTCAGCTTTCCTTGGCTTGTGGCTGCATCACTCCAGCCTCTGCCCCATTCTCATATCACCTCTGTGTGTGATATGTCTGTGTCTCGAACCTATCTTTGCCTCTCTCTCATAAGGATACTTTTGACTGCATTTAGGGCCTACATGATATCCTAGGATTACTTCCTCATCTTAAGATCCTGAGTCACTCCTTCAAAGATTCATTTTCCAAGTAAATTTCCATGGATAAGGA